GTCAAGACAACACCCCCTCATGGAGTCACAAACGGGAATAAAGATTACAGAAATTGAACGTTTTTTGTAATCTTTGATCGGCCCATTCTCAAATTCCTTTCTCCGTTCCTTCTCTCACTCCGCTTGTTCCTAGCCGAACCCGTAATTCCCTGGTCCATTCCAGATTATAATCTTTGCAATCGGTGAAAATGTAATCTTTATTCCCGTTTGTGACACTGTGAAGGCCTAAAATACGGGAACCAATCAGAAATGGATTCACATTGTCTTGACTCTCATTACAAAGGGACTCGAGTATATACGAGTGACCCGTCTTTATGTCTTTGATACCTAGTTCTGTTCGGCAAAAATACGTCCAAGTGACCCATCTGTCAACACAAACGGACGGCGTGGCGGATACGGTAAGGCACGGGGAGCATATCGGAACGCACGTCACGTTTGCCCCAACCGAAGGAATTTACTAGCCCCAAATGCGATCCAGACCCACAGTCCCCATTTTTATTTAACTGTTCTTTCCTTCGTTTGGTCGCTGTATCTCTTTTTTTTCTCCAGTATGATTTTGGCCGCCTTTCCTTAAGGTGATTCGATGGACGCCATATTTTGTGTCAGAACGGCATGCGATATATCGCATCAATTGGCTCAATTTTTTCAGCTACTCGTCATTTTTCTCCAATTTTGAGATCGCAATTCTGTTGTCAGGAGACTGAAGCACTCACTTACCAATTTTAACAAAGAAATTCAACGTAATAAAGGCGTGGTTTTTTTTTAGAGAGAAAATATCGCATTCGAGTGCAGTTTCGATATCAGTATCGAATGCGATGTTTCCTCTGTGAAAAAACCTCGCCTTCATTACGTTGAATTTCTTTGTTAAAATTGGTAAGTGAGTGCTTTAGTCTCCTGACAACAGAAGCGCGATCTCAAAATTGGCGAAAAATGACGAGTAGCTGAGAAAATTGAACCAATTGATGCGATATATCTCATGCCGTTCTGACACAAAATATGGCGTCCATCGAATCTCCTCAAGCCTCCAGTGCGTTGAAGCCGATGGCACGCGACCGTCGCACAGTGCATCGAGTCAATCAGAGAGGTCGGACACGAAATTTTTTACTAAATCTGCAAATTTTGATTTTGATTTCGTCACATTTTACATTTTAAGGGGCGGCTCTAGAAGAAACTTTAACGAAGAGACCAATGGAACCACTTTCAGAACCTCAAAATTTCGTATTAACAGAGTTGTGAGCGTTTCAAGTTTCCGAATTTTGCCCGACCTCTCCTATTGACTCGATCCAATGTGCATCGCGCGGTTCATCGCAATTTTTGACTAAGTCTGCAAATTTTGATGTTTATCTCGTCACATTTTATATTTAAGGGGTGCTACTAACAGAACATTTCACGAGGGAACCGATGAATTTACTTTTAGAACCTCGAAGTTTTGTAAAAACGGAGTTTTAAACTTTTGAAGTTTCCAAATTTTGTTCGACCCCTCCTGTTGACTCAGTCCATTGTGAGTCGTTAGTGAGACTGCAAAAATGCAACGCTTCAGACCCCATGTCATCATAATTTATTTGAAATTCTGAAATATTTATCTATCTTTGTTTATCAAAAATCCTCGTGGCCAACAATTTCCTTGTATCTGAACTGCTCCCGTGAATATAATCCCGATAAAATTCAATGAAAAATACCTAGATACATACATACATACTCCAACACATACCTACCAACCATACACATTGAATACACTGAAAGGCATCGATCCATCCTTACCTTTAACGGCGAGTAGACAGGTCATCAAACAGGCGAACATCATGTGGTGGTAACTTGGATTAAAATGAGGGGGAATCTTGTTTACGGAAGTTGTTAGGTCACTTCAGCCTAGAACATAGCGAGAAACGAGCGAGTAATGTTCATTTTCGTTTAGCATAGCTATTCAAATCATATTTAATATTATTTTCTAAGAAAATGTCTGTATCATTTTTTTCCATTTTTACTCACCATACTCTCCATAGCAATGCTACCTATAATATATACTGAAATTGAGCGATTACATTCAGTCAGAACTTTACCGGGATGGTCACTGGTCTTATGGAGGAAAAAGAGATCTACCGAGCTAAATAAAGGACGCTGTATGAGCCTTCAGACGTTACCGAATTTCCCCCAATAAAATTCAAAGTTTCACGATAATCTGTGAATATTTCTCCTCCGATTGTTTAGAGAATTTTATTTGTCATCAGATCTCAAGTATCTAAAAATGTCAAGGAAAAATATTCATAACACTCTTAATATTATAGAAAGGGTTTCCTGAGGAAAATTTGACAACTCTCGAATGTTCTTACGGCGCTTTTCCTTAGCAAGACAGAGCTGCCGTGCTAAGGAAGAACGCCGTATGAACATTCGAAAGTTGTTAAATTTCCTTTGATAAACTATTTTTTCTTGGGGAACATTATGAATATTTTTCCTTGAAATTTTCAGAAACTTTAGATCAGAGTACGAACAAAATTAACTGAGAAATTGGTAGACATACATTAAAACATTTTGCTGAAAATTAGTGTTTTGCTAGAGGAAATTTGGCAACGCCTGCAGTCTCATACGGCGCTTTTCCTCAGCACGACAGAAATGGAGATCCCCGACGCTTCTAGCTACTTTACATTCTTAGAAAACTCGGAGAGATTTTCCCTCCAGAACAGTGGCGATTCTCGCAAGTTGGCAACCCTGTTTTTTCTCCATTTAAATGCATGTTAACCAATCGATTTTAGGCAAATCAAGCTCTCTCACATAGAATCGATTTACTCAATGGATATATGGATGGAGTATTGACAGTGTTGCCAACTTTCTAGAATCGACACCGATCCTGAATTGGAAGCGGAATCTTTTTATTTACCAGAGTGAACTTTTCGATGACAACGCAGAATCAGCTCATTTGGCGAAGCTGCTTCTTTATATATTTTACACCTTATATTTGCATAATTCGGGTTTTTCTGAGGCAAACTTGGCTCCGAAATAAAATGCATTCTCTATTTTACTCTGCAATTCTTAGTCAAAGGCAACCCGGACGATCGCCCAAGAGATGGGCACAAAGTTGCCTTTCATCCCTGGAGTATTAAGTGATCTTTCTCATCGCCATCATATTTTACTAATTTAGAGGCTAGACAAACAGTGTCACGGCCCCAGTCAGAAGTTAGAGGAAGAAGAAGAAGAAAAAGAAGAAGAAGAAGAAGAAGAAGAAGAAGAAGAAGCTATTCTTATTAGCGCACGCTAATAGTCAGTTATTTCATTAGTAACCAATAGACGAAATATTTCAAATTTAATTCATTCAGAAAATCGATTTCTAGGTTTAGGAGCACATTTTCCCTTTAAAATTTGGTAAAATTGATAAAGGAGAATTTTTACCTCGCAATTCAGCTTGCGATATTACTCATAATTGACATTCATCATACGTTTAAAAAAATTATCCCCTCCTTTAACCAGCGGACGTCTTTTCTCGCCCTTACCTTTCCCCTCGAACGTAGCCTATATTTATTTTCTGCCGCATTTTAATGAGACAGTATGCCATATATAACGTACGTTGAACCAACTTCTAAGTGCAATCAGCCTTGCAGTAATTAGGAGCAATCAATATAAACTGAGTTGAAATCTAGATGATAATTTGTTGAAACGTGGAATAATTGGATCAGTTCAGACTGTGAATGAATACGATTACGTGGGCTATGGATTCGATTAAGCCATCAAGTCTCGGTTACCCAAAGATTGCTCCACGTGAAAAAGAAAACGTCTGAACATCATTATTTTCTTCCACCATTGTGTACAGTGGACTCTCGATAATTCGAAATTGAAGGGAATCGACTTTTTCCTCGAATTAGCGAGGTTTCGAAATAAAGAGAGTTCGAATTACAGAGATTCATGTGGGGAAATTTCGAATTAGAGAGGTTCGAATGTAGAGAGGCAAATTTACGGATTTACGTCAAAGGGAACCAAAAATATCAGTTTATTTCTTCACGGAGGTAAAAAGTACTTTAAGTTATTATTAAGTATTAATTATTTATATTTAATTTTAAAATTATTAATTACATGTTTACATTTTGACAATCCTATCAGCTCTTTCAGAACCTGCATGCCCATAGGTGACTGATTATACACCTGCTCAGAGACTTGAACGCAACTTAAAGAAAAATAACCAGTACGATCACAACGGTTCAGTAGTGTGGTAGTTTAGTAAAATGAGTATACGTAAGTAAATAACGTGCCGACTCGTATACTTTTTTCGAACGAAATGATTTTTGGATTTTTTCGGAGGTAGGTCTATTATCCGGCGATGTGTGTGCTCGAATACGTAATCCTTTGAGCTTGTTTTTCGTGGGTTAAATTCGGAAAAATTTCTGTCAGCTATACACGGAAAAAAAATTGCTGATTCAACAATTCAACTGCTAAAAACAGTGAGTGCAATGTTTCAACGCAGATTTTACAACAAAAAAATGCTACTTCAACCACCCCCGTGGTTAAATTAGTTTACAATGTGGTTAAAGTAGCATTTTTTTGTTGTAAAATCTGCGTTGAAACATTGCACTCACTGTTTTTAGCAATTCAATTGTTGAATCAGCAATTTTTTTTCCGTGTAAGTGAATTGTCAAGTTTTGAAAAACGTAAAAATTGAAAGTTATTAAATAGGCTCATTGAAAATTTTAGAGAGGTCATTAAAAATGCAACAACTAATAACTACTGAGCAATAAGCTTATCGAAATTTTCATAGATGCGGTAGCTTTGAACTAACCTAAATCCATAAATGGTATTATTACAGGAATTTAATTTATTTCTTTTTTTCTTAAAAAAGTATAGATAAATAAATAAATAAATAAATAAATAAATAAATAAATAAATAAAGGCTGAACCGAACCGTAAGAATTATCTGTCGTCTCCCGGACAGTGGAATGTAAATCCATTTCCAAGGTTGCAAAAATGACTGAAACAATTCAATATTTTGCAAAAATGTACCTACGTGCGCAATTTTCATCCAAAATTTGTCTAATTTTTGCTGGAGATCAAAGGAAAAATCACGTAACTTTATAGTTAGAAATGCTCCAGATTCTCTTGGAAAAAATGAAAGTTACGACGCGAAAATCATGCAACATCGAAATTTAGAAACGTTCTTTCGTGAGAGCATTGGCGCTTCATGTGATAGAACAAACTTTGGAACTTTTGGAGTCGGATCGTTTGCAAGCTGAACAATTCCATCAACTAACATGCAATATGGACGTTTTTATGCTAAAAGGAACTATTTCCGTGGTAGACGCAAACCCTATGCTTAAAGCTCCTTTTACCATAAATACGTCCACATAGCATATTGATTTTGAAAATAAAGACAATTTTAGCCTTAACTAGCATACTAAAATATTTCTTGACTAAGTTGCACCAGAGGCCTTTCGGGCAGATCCCATCATCATAGTGACTAAATCACATTATTAAAACAAAGCAATTACTGTACACACGCTTCGACTAAAATATCACAAATCCAACGAGCAGTATCAAAATCATAGTAAAGCATAAGACAAACGATAAATAAAATGAATCAACATCGTTAGAATAACAATTAATAACAGCAATGACAGTGCAATAAGTGATAAAAAGGTAAATACGTTATCTTTTTTTGCACTCGTTATCGCTTTTTATCACTTGTTGCACGTCATCGCTGTTATCAATTTTTATTCTGACGATGTTGATTCATTTTATTTATTTTTTGACTTATGTTATACTATGCTTTCAATATTGCTCGTTGGATTTTGTATTATTTGTAATATTTTAGTCGAAGCATGTGTATGGTAATTTCATATGATACTTTTAATCATGTAATTTCATCACTAACGATGGGCTCTGCCCGAAAGGTCTCTGATGCAACTTAGTTAAGAAATATATTTTATAATGCAAGGTAAGGCTAAAAATGTCTCAATTTTCATTATTTATTACACCTTGCTATTTGCAATGATGCACTGAAAAAAAAAAAAAAAANAAAAAAAAAAAAAAAAAAAAAAAAAAAAAAAAAAAAAAAAAAAAAAACTCGGTGTATTTACTAAGAAACGGGTAGAATTACCACGAATTCAGGGTTCTATTTGATCCCAGTTTTTTCTTGGTAAAATTACCATTTATGGAATTGGTAATTTTACCGCGAAATCTCGGTAAAATTATTGAACTTTCTCGGTAATTTTACTCGACCTTGGTAAAAACGCCAATATTTTTTATCGACTGTGGTAGAATTACCGAGATAAAATGGCAAAGTTACCGGGAATCGATTACCAATAAAAGTGGTATTTTTACATGAAAAAAACAGTAAAAATACCGGTTTTTAGGTAAGTTTACCAGTCTGTCTTGGTAAAATTACCAATAATTGGTAAAAAAAAGTGAGATGGTAAAGGTACCAACGGACCTTGGTAAAAACGCCGAGAATTGTTTTTCAGTGTGCTGATATAAGTTCTGGTAAAAGTCAAACAAATTACCCACCCTAAAGTCCAACGGCAACGGCTGGCCACTTATTTAAGCTCTTCATGAATCAACACCCAACAACCGCGGGTCCACCATCCGCGCGAATCCTCCGATCGGAGGACAAACAGCGTATCTCCTCCGAAATACCGGCCGCAACGAGCACTTTCACAAAGCCCCCCTAACGAAGAACCACTCAAGCGCGCGCGGAAAGAGGAAGTCGGAAGACGAACGGACACGCGCCGAAGGAAGCGCCGGAATGCCTGAGCCCGGTTTCGTTGACGAGCGGTTTCAAAGTGCTCCCCCCCCCCCCNCCCCCCCCCCGGGGGGAGGGGGGACACTCACGTGGTCACTGCGAACGCAGGTCCAGCTTTTAAAGCTCATTCTCAACCCAGACTGCGAGACGATTCATAAAGCACTGACGCTGAATGGATTTATTTATGCCAAAAGGAAGTATGTCTCGCGCAAGCGCTATGCACATAATTCCTTTTAGCATAAATACGTCCAAACATGTAACGCTAAACATCGGATTATCGTAACTATTTACTTACTTTTACGAGAGGGCTACGCCGCACTGTGGATCGAGTCAATTAGAGAGGTCGGACATGAAATTTTTGACTAAAACTACACATTTTGATGTTAATTTCGTCACATTTTAAATTTAAAGGGGTGCTTTCAAAATATAATTTTACGAGCAAACCAATGGAACCGTTTTTAAAACCTCAAAATTTTGTATACACAGAGTTATGAGCTTTTGAAGTTTCCAAATCTTGTCCAACCTCTCCTATTGACTCGATCCACTGTGCGCCGCCCGGCTGCTTTGTGGTAAAACTGCATTATATTAATGAATATAATAATACTGAAATGCTAAGGAAAAACGCCGTATGAACAGTCGAGAGTTGCCAAATTTCCGTCGATAAAATGCTTACTTTTGAGGAAAGTTATGAATGTTTTTCCTTGAAATTTTCAGGAACTTTAGGTGAAATTGCGAGCAAAATCATCCAGGGCCGGATTTTCCTACTTACCGCCCATGGGCCGCCCGTACTTTGCCGCCCCCTTCTCATTCGTATTGAAACATCAATAAAAACCATCAAGTGAACGTGCCAGCGGGGGAAAGGTGCATAAGACGCGTTTACTCGTATTGAACACATTTTTTGGGAAAGCCCTGTCAACACTACTAGCAAATGTCACGGAACTTCGCGCAAAAGTCAAGTTTCGTAAACCCGTCTCTAATGGACGAGGCCTTCCATTCATAAGAAATGAACGAAAAAATTATGAAAGAACAAACACTAAATTTGGTTTAATGATTTTAACTTCCACCGCCGCGCCGCGCCGACCGCACCGTGTTTGGCGCAATGCGTGAGGTATTCGTGCAGTCTTGTAGGCGCTAATATGTGTTACATGCCGATTGCCGCGCCGAGGGCTTCTCCTTTTCATCTCAAGTCTTCGTCATCATTTCTCCCTAAGTCGCGCCGTTCTAGGCCAAAACTTGTGTTTGGTTTCCCTCTTATCTCGACCGATTAAAGGCGCTGTCTCTTGTATCACTGAAAGACGACAAAATTAGAAATTACTATACTCTCAGGAAATGATAGATTTTGTAGCCTTTTCTCGTTAGAAATTTTTTTTTCTAAATCCAATTTTTTTTATACCTACATTTAAGAAAATTGCAAAATTTGCCGCCCCCTAGATTTGCCGCCATGGGCCGCGGCCCATGTGGCCACCCCCTTAATCTGGCCCTGAAATCATCTGAAAAATAGAAAAGAAAATATTCATAAGTTTACCAGGAAATTCGTGTTTTATCAAAGGAAATGTGGCAACGCCGGAAGGTTCATACGGCGTTTTTCCTTAGCACGGCAGAATATGGATGTATTTTTAATGTGCTATCTCTTCGTAGAGAAAGTATTGCGATCGGGAGGGTTCTTTTTCCTACGTGAAACAAGAGTGCAGTGAAGCGCACATAGCATTTGAGTGATAAAAATGTAAAAGGCAAGATAGGAATATTATAAAAATTTAGGAAATCAAGTAATGTAATAAAAAAGGCAGGAAGTTTCCAATAGGCAAAGGTTCTACGAAATAGTGCACATAAGGAACGAAGACAACAAGAGAATCAGAGGTACCGACTCCGCACCACTGGTTAAGTGGTTGCTTTAGACCAGGAAGGCATGTAAACAAAAAAGCTGTATACCTATTAAATATGACCACTAGTCGTATTAAAACAATTAAAAACTCGGAAACTTTTGCTTGAGCTTTTAAAATGTAGCTTTTAAGTCTGAATTGCAGAAAAGTGCTTCTTCGATGTATGTATGAGAGTGTGAATGAGGTTTAAAAGGAGAAATGACAAAACGATGTAATTAAATGAGTAATATTATCCATCTAATTTCTTAAAACAAACTACAATTAAATACAAAATTAAAAAATATAGCATTAAAATAAAGTGACAGTGGAAAACTGCAACTTTGCAAACGACTCTCCTCACCACAAAGAAAACTCATAAGAAGGCACTTTTAAGTGAGAAAAAGAGGAGAAAATTTAATAATAATAAACAGAAATAGATTACGAGAGTATGAGGGTAAATAGCAAAATAGGAGGAGAATATCAAAGATGAGTGGGACTGTAGAAATATTTCCTCTTTGCATTACTCAACTTTCCGATTTGCATTGCTCAACTCGACTTTTACCGCAGTCGGAGAATTTCAACTACTTGTGTAGACCGATTATCACCTCTAGGTTTCGTGTTCTTTTACCCTTTTGGATGGTCCCTTCAAAGTTTTGAGCGTTCCCAAAAGTTGTTTTCTTTGACCTAGCATACTCGCAAAATGTCAAGTCTCATTCTCAATTTGCTCAAAAGTAACGTAAAATTCAAAGCTGATAAAATCTCTATATTCATTACTCCAAAATCACTGATGACCTAAAACTTTGCATGAATGAGATAGGATTTTTTATCTCATCCATTAAATAGAAAATTCGGATAGGGGGAAAAGCTAGAAAAACTAGAATTACCAAAGGTAAAATTGTTCAAAAGGGACTTTATAGTTTGATTATCTAAATCATAACATTTGATTAAAGATTCAAATGTTAAGTAAACCATTATGAACACAACAAACACCAAAATTAATAAAATAATTAAAAACGAAAAATCGTAAAAGAAATGTTATTTGTTCTATTGTAAAACTAACACTATTTTGAAATCTTACATTACTCCACACCACACTCTTATTTCTAAAGAAGAATTGAAACCTTTTTTATGAATCTTAAATTTACTACAAAATATATATTCTTCTATATCTACCTTATTTATAATTTGTTTTATTAATATATTTTATAATCCATATAATGCATTCAAATATTCAGTTAGTTAACTCTAGGTTTAACCGCAACTGCTGGCACCTAATTAGTTGGAATTCAAATAAATTCTTTTAGTAGATTGCTCTAGTTTTTAAATTCTAAATGTTAAACCTTCATATTAGTTAAATTTAAATTTATATACATTTAATACAATTACTAACTTTTAAACTAAAATAAAATGTATGTTTAAAAGTTATATAAAAATATCAATATCTATCAATTTATTTTATGGTGGTGCGGGACTCTGTGATCATCCTGTATGGATGAATAAATGATACGCGTTCTCTGAACCGCGCTTAGGGCTTCGCGCCGGGATTTTTAACAGTGCATGCAGGAAACGAATTGAAATTCGCACAAAACTCCGCACAGCCTTTTACGTGTAAGAAATTGAATTTCCCAATTAAATTTGGCAACTAATATGCCTAGGTTACTTTCTCGTACTTAACGTGGTCCGTTTGGAAACGTAAATAGGATCAGGATTCGGGCGCTGGCAGTTGATCTCACGAAGTGTTTAAGCAAAATGTTTCGACCTCGCCCTTGCAAATAGGGCATTTGAATGGCTGATCTTCGGTTGCCATCCCATCCAACGTCTTGGTACACGTCATACACATTTCAACGTGACCGCACGGGTTCAGACACGTGTTTTTCTCATTTCCAAAGCATACGCGACAGGCTGAAATAAAGAAATGAAAAACTCATATTTATCACAGGTTCAACACTAAAAAAAAGTTCTCGGCGTTTTTACCAAGGTCCGTTGGTACCTTTACCATCTCACTTTTTTTTACCAATTATTGGTAATTTTACCAAGACAGACTGGTAAACTTACATAAAAACCGGTATTTTTACTGTTTTTTTTTCAGGTAAGAATACCACTTTTAATGGTAATCAATTCCCGGTAACTTTGCCGTTTTATCTCGGTAATTCTACCACAGTCGATAAAAAATATTGGCGTTTTTACCAAGGTCCAGTAAAATTACCGCGAAAGTTCAATAATTTTACCGAGGTTTCTCGGTAAAATCACCAATTCCATAAATGGTAATTTTACCAAGAAAAAACTGGGATCAAATAGAACCCTGAATTCTTGGTAATTTTACCCTTTTCTTAGTAAATACACCGAGATTTTACTTTCAGTGAAACATAGCCACCCTCAAAATGAGAGAACACTCAAAAGACCAACTTCAAATAAGGCCAACTTCTCATCAAGGTGATTCGACGGCTGTCATTTTTTGCACGACGTGCGATATATCGCATCAATTCGTCCCATAACTTCAGCTACTTGTCATTTTTTTTCGAATTTTGAGATCGCACTTCTGTCGTCATTAGACTGAATAATTAATGTACCAAATTTGACAAAGAAATTATAAAATAAATTACAGGTTTTTTTCAAAGAAAAAATATCGCATTCGAGTGCAGTTTTAGATATCAATATCGATTGCGACATTTTTCCTCTTTAAAAAAAACCTTGCCTTTATCGCGTCGAATTTTTTTGTCAAATGGTGCATGAATTCTTGAGTCTCATGACAACAGAAGTGCGATCTCAAAATTAAACAAAGTGACAAGTAGCTGAAATTATGGAACGAATTGATGCGATATAATTTACGTCGCTCTGACACAAAACATGGCAAACGTCGAATCACCTTAACGCCGTGTCTGTTCGCTTTCAAGTTCAGAGAAGGCAACACGAGCCTACCCTTACAGTCGAATATTGCGTCGTAAAAGAGTCATATGAGTCTAAAAACAATGAGTCATATCCGCTGAATCGTGTTTTGATGCTTGATTCTCGTAGATTAGCTAAGATTAATAAGATCTGTCCAAACAGCAACTTCCTATGTTCAGTATGAACCGAGATATTGCGCTTTGAAAAATTCGGTGTATGATGTCATGCAGAGCAGTAG